CTTCAAGATGAATGTGTATAAGAAAACTCGAATCCTTTCTTTTTTTTACCAAACTCTTGTTCATTTAGCCGGTTTCGTAGCATTTCTGGTTATTCGTGAGTGTAAAAACTATGAAATCAGAAAACAACTAGATATATTATTTTTAAAGTAATAAATTTAAGTTTAAAATTTATACAAATTTTATTTTTCAATTAATTTTTTAAATTTTATATTTTTAATTTTTAAGTATACTGTGGAGAACTTCCAAAGAAGCTTTAAGGTTAATCAGAAAAGTAAGTGAAGTATTTTTAACAATATCAGTAGTCTGTCGAACTTGGGTATTGTGTTACAGTAAGTTTATCGCTAATGTTAAAAATATTTCAATGTTGATGTTAATTTAAAGACAGTTTAATTAGTTTTCGATTTAAAACGCTAGTAATAAGATGACTTATTTTGTAAGCTGAATTTTAAAAAAAATCTTAAACGATTTTAAAGATATCAAATTAAAACAATTTTAATGAAAATATAAAATTTGTATATTTCATAGAGAGGAGATTGGAATAACAGCCTATCAAGTGATGTGTAGATCTTTTAAGTTCTATTTAACATCTATTTTTTTAGTGTTCATTCATTAGTTCATTAATATTGTGAATCTTTACACTAGCCCTCAGTGGCACAGCGGAATGTCTACTGACTTACAACGCTAAAAACTGGGTTTCGATACCCGTGGTGGGCAGAGCACAGATAGCTCTTTGTGTAGCTTTGTGCTCTAATAACAAGCAAACCTTTTGACTAATAACCCGAACTCCATGAAAGACTACCAAGATATGTGCACTTCCAAGCAACAGCCTATATTTTGTTTTTCAGTGAATAATAAATAACACTTGTCAACTAATATTAAAGACAACCCCACAGAGCAGTTAATAAAACAAGCACTTTGTGTGTCACTGATAAGAACAAGCATTCTAATAACATGTAAAACAGTTTGGATTTATTGTTCAAATCTTGGTTTAAAAACTACTCAGACAAGAAACGCTATTACTATATTTTATATGAGCTATAATGAACTATTGTAAAAATAAAACATGTATATAGTTAAATGAGATAATATCAAACAAAAACCGCTGTACATTTAGAATATTATGCATCCAGAGCCTGTTTCTTGTGAACTTTCTATCTAAGACATAAAAGTCAATAATTTGGACTTGAAAATGTTCCATAATATGTACCAAATGTGTAACGCTGATTTTTAATAAATTTGCATTTTGTATTTATGGCAAAGGTACTAAGGCTATCTCCCGCCTTCCCTAATTTTGAGCCACCGATTAAAGGGAAGACAGCCAGTCATAAGCACCCTACCACCCACCATCCATGCTAAGGGATTAACTTCCACTCTTGTAATGAACCCACAGCTTGAATTTTGGGGAATACTTTGTTTTTTCGCATGAATTCAAATCCGGTTTGCCAGCTCCTAAATCTAGGGCTCTACCACAGTGGCAGCTCGCGCCATCTTCAATAAACTGTTCTTGGGATATAATAATGAAATTTTCATACTTTAATTCAAAACGCTGAGCATTATATGTGTATATAGACGCAACGAAGTAGTTAAAAGCTTATCACAATATATATCTACATTATTGCACTATTGCCATCATACATTTTTTTTGTATAAATATAGTTCAATTTTGTGTTTCATTGACGGAATTAACCTCTTAGTAAGTATTTTTACAAATCTGCGACTTTCAAATGAGTCCTATCTAAAATATTATTGTTTCACTTCGAATGGCAAGGTATTTATAGTTTTAAGAGATATGAACCTTATGCTTTTGTACATAGAACAAAAACGACATAACATCATACAGAAAAACAAAACGAAACTAATCAAGTGACCCTTGTTTATAAACAGAATAATCTGAGGATATTCCAATTGAATAAGTTCTTCATGTGAGGTAATCGAGTTATTTCAAATTAACGAAGTGTTGTTTAACGTACCTGCGCTTCCTAAATCTGCTTGTCAGGAAGTTCAATTGTCTTTCTAGTTAAAAACAACAACAACAACAACAAATATCAAACGTTTTTATGATGTAAAGATCAGGGAAGAACTTTGCTCTTCGTGCGACATAAACAAGATTCGTCAAATCATCAATTCTTCACAACAAAAACTTGAAGGGTACTAATTCACACACATAGTAATAAACATGTAATTTCACACCAAAAATTAACAGACACCGTTAAGTTTCTTCACACGTGATGCTTTGTTCGTAATGGAGAAACTACTATATATACATATAACAGCACTGCTTCCAATATCACATAAGTTAATTTTAAAGCACGCTTACTTGAGTGGAAAGATATTAGCCAGAAGTTACCGTATAGAGATGATTGTGAATAATCAATACAAACTACTTTGGGTGGCATAACGGCGCTAAGACATATTTTATAATTAAGATAAGACAATAGTTCAACCAGTTTAAGCAGTGTAAATGAAACACTTCCACAAACATACTGGTTGATTCTGAAAAATTATCCAAAAACAGATTTCATGGAACGACACTTACAAACTTCAAGACTGATGCGTTGTATAGCGTTATACATTAAGGACTTTTTTTAAAAATTGATATATAAATATAGCCTTTTTTGTACTTGAAACATACTCAGATAGCTGTGTTTAGTAAATATACAAAAAATCTGTTTTTTGCCACAGTATTTACAAAATACACGTGTAACATACTTACAGGTGATTAAAAGTAGAAAATAAAAATTTCATATGTGTAAAATCATTCTCTGGATAATTTTAAGCTATGTACTCAAACTATAACCCACAAAATGTGCAATTTCTCAGATATTAAACAGGGTAATAATATATTAAGGTACTTTCACTTTGTCTTGTTGAGCGCAATGTCCGTGATATTAAATAGGGTAACCATGTATTAGCGTACTTCCACTTTGTCTTGTTGAGCGCAATGTCCGTGATATTAAACAGGGTAACCATGTATTAGCGTACTTCCACTTTGTCTTGTTGAGCGCAATGTCCGTGATATTAAACAGGGTAACCATGTATTAGCGTACTTCCACTTTGTCTTGTTGAACGCAATGTCCGTGATATTAAACAGGGTAACCATATATTAGCGTACTTCCACTTTGTCTTATTGAGTGCAATGTCCGTGATATTAAACAGGGTAACCATGTATTAACATACTTCCACTTTGTCTTGTTAAGTGTCGTGGAAATCGTTTTTAGTTCGGTCCTTTAAGAGGAAAACACCAATTGGCGATGAAAATATTTAGGTTCTCTACAGATACTCCTGACGGTAGAAAGGGGCGAATTTGAGTTAAGAGCTTATACAATCTTTTCCTGAACCAAAGGTCGGCTAAAGGGAGTATAATCTTTTGGAAATGATAGCCAGCAAATTTCTCCAACAAAAGTTTCAAGTTGTGAAATAGAATAGTTTTTTTTTTAATGGAAGAGTCTCTTGATGAAGTAAAATCATTTATGTGTCACACAGGCAGTTAGATTCTCTGAACGACACGTAAAGCAAATATATATGTATGTAGATTTACCTTTATGATGCTTTTATTCCACATATAACAAATCATTTTATTTTTATCTTTACAGATGCAATTAAATAAAAACTAGTAAGTTTTTAGATATATCTATATTAATCAATAAAAAAGAGAACTGTCTAAACTAGTAAATTACGTTAAAACATTTTCTTTACACATTTCTACTGTTACGTTAGGCCACCTGTCGTCAGAATGAAGTAATATCGCCTACTGAGGTTTTACTCTTAGTTTATTTAAATAACTATAAGTTCTACAGTAGAGTTGTGTTTAAACGTATAACGTGTATAATAAACAAATTAATTAATGTGTTTTAATTTCACACTGGTGGATGTTAATTAAGATATTGAATTACACATTATAAACGCAGCTGCTGATAAAAACCATGCACATTTCATCTTACCTGTTTTGCCAACATTCTTACTACCTAGAACCACCACACGTACGGAGGTCAAATTCGTCATGACAACGTTTTAGTTTCTAACTGCCTGTAGAAGACGCACAGAGTTTTATTGCCGGATACCAGAGTAAGGAACCGATTCCCTATTATATTACCACTAGTGGAAGCAAACATAAAGTCATAATTTGGTTTTCACGCACTTGAATAGCGACTACTGTTATCAAGTAGACCTATTTACTCCGTCACTCAAAGCATTTGAAGTTAGAGACAGCTGCAAAAGGCCAGTCGGAGCCGATGTTTGAGTCACTGACTCTTCTGAAGGGTAATTTTATTTCCAAACAGGTTACTTGTACCTCTGATTGGTCTCGGGACTCAGTTTTCGTCACGTTTTGCGAGTAGGCCCAGCAAAAGTAAATAGAAAGAAAACAACGACAGTGGCGCCCTCGTGATTAACGGTAATTTCCGTTGTATGGTAACGGCTTTAACACTTAAGAGAGTCGAAAAGAAAGAAAAAAACCAAATCTCTTGAAGTTGACATGACGTTCTGCTATGTGTAACCGTCTCCTGACCTACATGGTCACGGTTTATCGCATTCGTAAAGGCAAAGAAAAGCAGCTGTTACTTAAAAAAAAGAAACAACTGACTTTGAAGTAACGTATTCCTATAATGGTAGGTCAAGACCTCGATTTTGGGGTGTTTAGGAGCGTGCTACAAATTCATTCTGCCGCTCTCAAGTTTAAGTCTGGATAAAATCAGAGACTTTCTGGACTTAGCTTACATAACTCGAACCTTATATAGACAAGTTCACAGAGATAGAGAACTTGATAGAGTCATTGCTACTTAGTTTGACTTAAATAAAACTTATAGAATACTGGTTGTTGTTGGTTTTTTTACTGAACTGTACTATGTGATAGGCACTATAAGCAATAATATAATTATTGAGCATTCTAACTGATAATCACACAAATGTAAGTGGACAGATTTTACCTGTTTCACAAATTGCTTAATTATTCACTTAAGTACTTTTGAATGTAAAACAAGCGCTATTTTAAAAATATATCAACATTTTCAGAATGACCCTTAAATGACGAAGATAAATAATAGTTTTACTTTATTTTTAGCTTTGCTTCAAAGATAAAAATAAAATCCAGCTATAGTTTCTTGATGAATATCACGGAAATTGTAGAAAAATGTGTATGAAAGTAACATTCTTGTAGCGACATTTTATTTGTAATTTAAACCTATCTGTTATTTGCTCAGAAGCCTAGATAGTTTACAATAATTTGGTTAATTCGTTCACTCAAGTGAGTAAGTCTAGTTAAAATACTGTCGTTAGCTGAATTCGAATATCAGAACAACTTACTCCCAGCAGCTCAGCGGTAAGTCTGAAGGATTATAACGCTAAAAATCGGGTTTCGATACACGTGGTAGGCACAACACAGATAGCCCATTATGTAGCTTTGCACCACTTAATAACAAACTAAATAACTAACTAACACAACTGTTTATGAAATCTTAAACTCATTGCTAAAAGTTATAAAGCTAAAATTCTAATATTCATAGCTCTATACCTATGGCGGGTGTATAGTTTTGGGCTTAAGCAAACAAACAAAGTGAAGCCTAAAATTTGACCTTGTTGAATGGAATACAAAGACACACCATGGAACGTTCTTCAACGCTTTACATGACGGTAATCTTGTATTATAAAATACTACATGTTCAAATGTTATTTGCTCTCTTCATAAATAATATTAATAATTAGATTCTACAGTGAGAAAGGTGTAGCCATGGAATTTGCTTTATTAGGCTTGAGGAAAAGAGAAAGGAAATAATGGCTGACAAACAACTCTTGAAGGATAAGAATGAAATACGAAATTCAAGATAATTATGTTCTCATTATTAGAGATTCGATTCAACCTTGAAGTCACCTTATGCGACACATGAGCTAAACGGCCACGTTAAAGACTCCGAAGTTTCAAGCATAACAGTCCCTAATTTTGGTCTGTGGACCAGAGGAAGGGCAACAAATAAACAGCATCCGCTATCTGCCTGTTTACTCTTAAAAATACTGGGATTGACTTTCAAACTTACAATGGCCCACAAATGGAAGTGCGGAGAGAGTTCAATAGCATCTTACGGCTCGAGCCTTGGGCTTTCCGATCCATGTCTAGGCTCACTAAACTCTAGGCAACGCCATACCTAAAATTTGTTCAGAAACAACAATTATGTACTGATAAACTAGACGGCGCTTCACACTCTGGTCTCCCATAACTAGCTGTATTGTATAATATAATTTTGAAACCAGAAAAATTGATTTTTTTTTGTTCCCTACAACTCAATATTTATAAACTTTGTTATGTTCTAATCTCATGTGATATTTCTTATGGTTCTAATGTTCCTGACCTTAATCATCAACATTTTGTCCAAAGCGAAAATATCAGACAAATATAAAACTTAGGAAGTTATTTTGTTATTATATTTTCTACATAAGAATTATGCCTTTTAGCTTATACCTTGTTTCTGTTCATAGAAGCATTGAAACAGCTAGGAAGTTTAGTGACCGTAAAAACATTCGTGTTCGATCTAATGTTTAGTCAAATAACAAGCAAATCAACAGTTGTAAGCGCTTACCGTTCAGTACTTATCAGCTTTACTTTCAGTACTTGTTTACTTTCATAATGCGAAATCCAACTTTACTTCAATGGCTTTGACTGCCTGCTAAAGAAAAAAAAGTATCTCTGGTTTTATTCATGTTCTTCTGAAGTGTTTATGTATTTTGTATTTCCGACATCGATCCTGTGACGTTATCAATGAAAGATCGGTAAAGTACCTTGGAAATAAATAGTTAGTTCTGGAATGTCACTATGTGTATAGTTACCATGAAAAAAATCCTTTAATTTAACGTGAGCTATTTATATAATATGTTATTCATGAATATTTATTTTACGATTCTATCTAAAGTACGTACAGTGCATAAAACATAGTCACTTTTCATATTATTTTTAAAAGTTTAGTGTTTTGTTTTTGTTGTATTGATGTCATTCAAATTATTCATTGAACTTAGTATTTGCACACGGAGGAAGATTACGTATTAATACTTTGTCAAGTAAACCAGAAGATGGCGTAACGCTTATATAAAAAACAACAAAAAACATGTTATTTGTAAAAACAAACTGGAGGGTTGACGCTAGGTTTCTTTATTCTCTCATATTTTTGACAAATACAGAGTTTTCGCCACATTCTTAATTTTTTACGCAACTATTCCGGTATTATAAAAAAATTCAGAGAGCAAATAAAATACATTATATACCAGTTTCTGTTATGCAAAAATATTTTCACAAATTAATGTAAGCTGGCATATATCTGTTAAGTGCTTTTGTTATTGATTCACGTACAAAACAAAAACACGATAAAGCTCAGGAATAAAACTCCAAAGAATATGTTAGGTTTAAGCGATAAGAAATGGTAAATATATATATATGTATATATATATATATATATCAAACAAATGTTTTTTGAACCCTCTACGATAAAGATTAATCTGACGGGCGTATGATTTCAAAAAGGTTTAAATTATGTACCTGCAGATGGCGCGAGTGTCGGTGTTTATCATAACTTTTAGGATGTGTAAATGTTTCGTTTTAAAGCGGTTTCATTCATTTTGCCCTATAATCTATTTTTTTAATAATTTGAATAAAGAAAACAACGTAGAATCGTGTGAAAAATAAGAGCAATTGTTCGACCTCGTTTGGAGAATATTTGGATATTGTGAAGGTTATTATAAAGTGTTATTTGTTTACAAGGTACTGTGATTGTGTTTGGAGCAGACAACTTGTGTTTATGTGTTTTGTAAGTTACGTTCTTCTCTTTCTTTAATGTTAGTTTCATTAACAGTATTGATTAAAATGTTTAATATGTATAATATAGCTACTTTTGTTTACTTGTTATTCTTTCATTTATATATTTGTTATCATACATTATTTATTATTACTATTATTTTGCAGTGTTAGATCAGTACTTCTATTTACAACTAACTTTAATCTCTTAAGTTGGACGATGTCATAATATATTATCGGGATTACGGCCGATAATGTCGTTAACAGAGAGGGTACCTAACTGATGAATTAGTACATTCTAATCATTATATGTTTTTGTTTATAGCTTTACATACACCTAATTAGATCGGTATATTAAATTAGATACATTAATTACTGAGTTAATTTTAGTCAGAGAGCTTTCCAAGAAAACAATGTTTGTTTTCACTGTAATAAACTAATGCAGTGCATCTAGTGCATTAGAAACAGACGATACTTGCAACATACATGCCGTAAGGTATGCCAAGTCATTTATAGCAACGTTATGCCACTTGTCTTGCCAACATTTCGTCTACTGATTAATATAAATTTTCATGCCTCACTGAGGATATATGCTGTTCACGAAAGGCTGAATTAGTGAATGTAAACAGCTCACGTTGTGATGTATACATATATTTCTTAGATTTACATTCTACGTTTGAGTTAGTTTATGGTCGTTTTGAAAGGGATGTTAGGTAGTCTTTATATATATGTATATTCAGGTCGCATAGATTTCAACTAACTGGTTCGTAACACAGAACAAAGTTTGGACTTTTTTTATGAGCCTGCTATAAATAAGTGAAATTTAGTCAAAAGTCCAATATATACCAACCAGTTGATTAAACATCCAATTTAATATTTTTATACTAACGCTCTTTCTTTACAGTTAATAGATAAAAACTTCACTCATTGATTTACACACACATATATGTGTGTTTACGTGTTACAAACATATTAATTTAGTTAGTTAATTTGTTTGTACTTATGCACAAAGCTACACAATGGGCTATCTGTGCTCTACCCACCACGGGTATCGAAACCCGGTTTCTAGCGTTGTAAGTCCGCAGACATACCGCTGTGCCACTGGGGGGCACTAATTTAGTTTGGAGTTAGACAAATAGTTATTTTAAAAAGTTACGCCTGAATATACCAAGAAGCTGTAAGTTATTTTGTAGAATATAATAAACCCTTGAAAAATAAAAGTCTTGTTCACTGCACTAGCAGAGAGCAACATTTGATTTTTAATAAAAGTTATATTTTATTAATTAATGTAATTAAATTTCATGGAAATATTTTTAGTTACCTACAAAGTAAGATCAATTTATGGCTAATTA